TATGAAACAAACTCTGAGCATTTGCATAAAGAAAACGGAGCTTAGACCGGGCAGATTCCCGAACGATTCTTGGGCCGAAGTTGCTGGATACTTCGCGCGAGTTTTCGGGTCTATCGTCCTCTTCCGAGTCTACTGCTGTTTGATTGGACTGGATGTTAGTGTGTTGTCCGTCGTTTTCTCTGATCGGTTTGTCAGATAGGGACGTTCTTTCCTTATTATCTGGTTGTTCATTCTGCTCAGTGTTATTGCCTGTTTTGAATTGGTTTCTAAATCCACTGCTATCACTCCTCCCCCATAGCGACAATTTTCGCGGTTTTTGATGTCACCTCCCTCATTCTGACCTCATGCGGTCTGTCGGCGCTCACGGCTGAACCCTCAGTATTCACTGTCTACTAGTAGTTCGGTCGTACCTCCCTTCCTCACTGCTCGGCTGAGCTCGAAGCGTGCTGTGGCCGATCGCATCTCGGTTCCTCTCGTCTGGCCTATTTGACGCGGCGTACCAATCCGGCCCACACGATCTCAATTGTGAATCCCGTATGCAATGCCATATGCAAGCCAGTCCTATCTGTCCCACATTCGTACCCCTCAAGGCTGACATTTATTGCTACCCTGATGATGACCGACAACATTTCGTTATATACTGCCACCTACAGGCCAGTCCTGCTCGCTTTTTTCTGTCATTATTTTTATTGAGGGGGTTTTTTTCTCCTGTAAAATTAATTCAATCATTTTTAACTTTTTGTTAGGAGTTTTTTTTCACCCCTCAATCATCATGTTTCTCAATAGACTTCTAATTCAGAAACTAGGAATTGCATTTTGTAAAGATTCGGCCTACCTCGTCTAAAACTGGCATGTAGATTTATTTTAACTTTCTTTGATGGGACCCCGACGGGTCTTTAGTAAAAGTTATCTATCTGTCTATCTATAACTTTCACTATGTGGGATGTGACTGTTGCGATTCGGCGTCTTCGTAAATCTTATAGTCCAGGCCCTGATGGTGTCCCAGTAAGCATTTTAAAAGCCGATGCAAACACGATCTTCCCATCCCTCTTATGCAAGATATTTAATCTCGCTCTTGAAACTGAAACCTATCCTACCTTGTGGAAGGAACCACACATTCTGCCCATTCCTAAGCACGGCAAAACTACATCGTTTGATGACATTCGGCCAATAAACACCCTCCCCGCAGTTTCGAATATCTTAGAGACATTGATCAAGGATAAGATGATGTGTCACTTAACAGCGAATAACCTACTGAGTGCTGCTCAGCATGGATTCCTTAAAGCTCGACCTTGTGACACCTGTCAACTCTCTTTCTTTGACTATGTTCTCCAATCTAGGGACCATGGTTTTGCTCTTTACACAGTATATTTCGATTTCACTAAGGCTTTTGACCGTGTTGACCATGCTCTTCTTCTCTTGAAATTGTCCTCTTTCGGAATAGGTGGCAAACTTTTGAATTTTATATCCTCTTATTTAAGCACTCGCACACAACGAGTTAAGATTTCCAATACTCTCTCCAACCCTACACGTGTGAGGAGTGGAGTCATTCAGGGTAGTGTACTCGGCCCGCTTTTATTTTGCATTTTCGTTAATGATGTACCCGATTTATTTGAGAATGGTAAGCCTTTCATGTATGCCGATGATCTTAAAGTTGCATATCGATATAAGCCGGCAGATCGTGACATCGTGCTTGAGCTCCTAAAGAGCGATCTACAGGCTTTCGCCCAGTGGTGCCGCACATGGCGCCTTTCTCTTTCGTGGCATAAGTGCTCAGTCATGGTGGTTGGCGACGACCACCAACCTCAACTAAGTATTGAAGGTCACGCCATAAATGTGCCAGGGGTTATAAAGGATTTGGGCGTTTCATACTCCAAGAGTCTCAATCTCTCGGAGCACTGAGCCTTGATAGTTTCCAAAGCACGCAGAACAACCGGGTTTATCCTCCGAAATTTTAAAACTGGGAACATTATAATGCGCCTTTTCAACATGTTCGTTAGACCTGGTCTGGAATACTGTTCGTTTTCATTTAGCCTCATGCGTGCTACTGAGCGGAAAAAAATAGAATCCGTTCAACACTTTTTTACCAAGAGAAATTTAACCCCGGAACACCGACATTTGTCTTACCCAGAACGTTGCCGGCTTACAGGCCTCGATCCTTTATGGTTCCGTAGATTACAAAAGGGACTATTTTTGCTATTTAAACTCTTATATAATCACACCTTTAACCCACTCACCTCTTTAAGACATCATATCCACCCACGGCGTAACAGTCATCGTGAGGTCTTTTTATTTCTTCCTCTGGCACGTACTGTTAAATATCGTCGGTTCTTTTCTGTAAATGCAATTGCTATTTGGAATAAACTACCCATGAGTGCGAAAACTGCAAAATTTTCCTTTATTTAAGAGAACTATTACTCGATTTTTGCATTCAGAAAAGCTCCCACAAATTTTGGGTGCCGAAAACTCTGATGGACTGTACCGTAGCGATGGCGTTTGTGGTCTCTGAACACTATGGCCGGTCTCACCAGCTGTTCCTCAACGCCTCTACTTTGACTATCCCCAACTTCATGAAAGGAATTTGACGTCCGATAATCTCCGATACCGTGCAACCTCCCCCCTTCTTGACGGTCGATATTCTACCACCGCCGGCAGTTTTTTCTCCTGAGCCCTCCAAACCATAAAAACCACCATCAACTATATTTTTATCCCTTTAGCTCAGGAGTTTTTTTCACTGCTGGCCGGATTTGTGTTTAATCGCTTCCCTTGACAATGCCTGTAAACTGGCATTAAATAAAAAATTTATTTATTTATTTATTTAAATTACATCGGGGTTATATATTTCAACAAAAGTTCTAAGTTGGGATATTTTGTTGACAATCGATCTGGAATTTATAAGAGCTGTCTTTAGGATGTCGGATATGGAAGAGGTGGGCTGTGGTGAAAAAAGGATTTCTGGGGGTACTTTGAGTGAGTGATGGACTAAATGGAGGTAGGTGTGTGGTTCTTGGAGGGTATGGTGATGCGTATGGCGTAGTGTGAGTGCATGAGCTAGTGTGTATGGACTGAGGGTACATATGGGGAGGTGCGTTAACTAGGTGGTAATTGTACCTAAATGGAGTTTCAGTTGGGGAGGTGTAAAAGCCAAAGTAATTTGTATGGTTGTAATTAGGTGTTAAGGAGTTTGGAATGCTAGGGTGGTTTGGCTTATTCCTATGCCATGCAGGTGGATTTTGGGGGTCGAGATGCCGTTATAAAAGCTTGTTTGTTTTTGGTTAGAGTTTGGTGGGCTTCTATTTGTTATTCAACATACCTAGGGCGTTTTGGTTGTGTTGGTGTGCTTAGTAAGGCCTTTTGGTTTATGCGCCTTGTTTGGCAGTCGTTTTCTAGTACTGATTGATCGGTCTTGGCGGATGTAGTAAAACTAATACTGCTATCTAAGGGTGTCACATGACTCGGTCCGGGATCTGCATCATCGTTCTGTTCTAGTTGAACGTTGTTATTTTGTTGTGCCTCCCTCATTTGTTTCTGACCAGCAGTCCTAAATACTTTTGCAGTTGCGCGTTTTTATCATGAGAACTAGAGTCAGAAGTACTTGCTGGAGGTCCTTCTGCGGGGGCTGTGGGTTTATCATTTGGTTTACGCTGGCCTGTGTATTTCTTTTTATTAGAGCTAGAAGTAGAAGTAGTGGCTAAAGGTTCAGTTGAGGGACCGGAGTGCTGAGTGTCGGATTTGTAGCTGGTGTCTTTTTCCCGAAGTTTACGTCTTTGCATAGGTGTCAAATCTGGACCTATACACGAGTTTAGGTTCCGCAGATTTCTGTTTACTTCGTGATTTTGTAGGACAATCTCAGCTTCCGCCTGTGAGTAGAAGGTTACTAAGACGGGCTTATTTTTGCTTCTGGAGTGAAGTCTTTGAGTGTTAGCTACTCTGATGTTTAAGCCACACGAATGTATAAAATTTTGAATTGATGGTGTCGGATTAACGGTGTGGGGTATATTATGGATAATTAAATCGAGCCTGCGTTTCGATCTATCCGCGACTTCTGACGAAACTAAATGTATAATCGATTCGATTTGTGGTAGGCTCGTTAGGCTGTTCGTGAATCTATTTGAGTTTGTTAGTAAATCGAGAATCGTAAAAATATGTTCATGTTTCTCGATGAACTTCTGTAAACGGACGATGGCCGAAAGATCTACTTTGTCGACAGCAAACGTAACATCAGTCATGGTTAAATGGAGAGAGCGTAATGGATTTATGTGTTATTTTCGAAAGCTAATAAAAATCGACGCAAAATCAAAGCAGAAATATGTCAAATATTTCAGTTATAAATGAATTTCGACTTATCTCGAGTCTAAGGATTTTGAAAGGTTGTGCACAAAAGGGCTTATTCAGCAAACTAATTCAGCAAATTAAGCCCGCCGAAACTGATGGGATGGGATCGGCTCTGATGGGATCCTGGTTCACAACCTATCCTCGCATCGTCTCACGCAACAGCAGCTAGCGATTTTGTCCTATGACACTAAGTTCAGCACGAGAGATGCTCGACCAGAAGACTTCATCGCATACTTCGAATTAGCGCTCCAGAAGTGCGAGGTGGATGAAGAATGCAAACACGTCATGCGGCAAAAGGTGTTGTCCTGGCTTCCCCAACACAAACCCCAAATGACGATTTCCGAAGCTGAAGAACGAAAACTTTTCAATTTACGAAAAATTAAGAATATCGTCACCCTGCCTGCTGACAAGGGGCGCTCGACGGTCGTCATGGATAAGACCGAATACTGGACTAAACTGGAGAACTTGCTGATGGACACGGAGTCTTATGCGCTTTCGGATGCCAGCGAGTTCAAAAAGCTTGTAAACAACATAAACAAGACCGTAAGGAGGTTGTATATATATTTATATATGTATATACATACATATACAACATCCTTAGGTTAAAGAAAGCAAACGCCCTCACGAGAAGAGAGGCCCTGTCCGCGAAAGCTACTAACACCGCGATGGCACGCTTCTATGGCGTGCCCAAGCTACACAAACGAGGAGTGCCCCTCCGCCCAATCGTCTCTCTTCGTGGCACCCCAACATTTGGACTGTCAATGTGGCTGTACCAGCGACTGTGTCTCCTCATCAAGGACTCAGAGTGGACGGTGAAGTCAGCTGAAGAGTTTTTGACTCGCATCCGTCATCGTAGAGTGGAGGCAGACGAGATGATGGTGTCCTTTGACGTGGTCTCACTGTTCACGCCTATCCCACCTGACCTGACCATCGACACTCTCGACGGACGTCTCCGAGAAAAATACGACGAGACCGACCAACAGCTTAAACGAGTGCACATCACTGAGCTCCTAGAACTGTGTCTCCAGACTTTCTTTACATTTAACGGCCAAGTACACGAGCAGAAAAAGGGAACGCCAATGGGTTCATCTCTGTCTGGACTAATTGCCGAAGCGGTTTTGCAGAGGATGGAGTGGCTGGTATTCAGCTCGTACCCTCCAAAGTTCTAGGGCAGATATGTCCACGACACATTCGTCATAATAAAGAGGAGCGACGTGCAAGATTTCAAGGCACTTTTGAATCCGATATTTCCCGACATACAGTTCATTATGGAAGAAAAGGTCGACAATCGATTGCCCTTTTCAGTTCAGTTTATTGAGGGAAATAGGCGTAAGCCTTTGAGTGCCCTATTTGCAACGTAAAAAGTGTGTGGTATACAGAAAAATATTCTGGACTGAAAGATCAGACGAGCCCATAATGGTAGAACAAAATGGGAACGAGTTACGGGGAGTGAGCTCGACTTCTCATCCCTCATGGTCATTTCGGAACATAAATATGTCAAGATTCTTTTTAAAACTTTGCGTTGATGGTGACATCACAACGTCTGCGGAAGGGCATTCCACGGTTTGACCACTCGAACAGGAACGGAGAACTTCCGCACATCCAGCCTTGCCCGCTGAGTGCGTAGTTTGAACGGGTGACCTCGGAGGTTGGACGTAGCAGCAAATTCAAAAAAGTCCTCGAAGACCAGGCTGCAATCCAACCCCTTTACAATGCGGAAGGCTTGCAAGAGATCCTCACGAAGTTGCCTGTAACTCAAAGGAAAGAGGTTCAGATTTACTAGGCGAGTTGCATAAGGAAAGGAGCTTTGACCCCTAACCATCTTCGTGGCTCTCCTCTGGACCCTTTCGAGGCAGTTTTGATTCTCAATCGCCCACGATCTCCAGGCTTGTATGCCGTACTCTAAATGCGGCCGGACGAATGTTCCGAATGTCTTTGAGAAAGCATCTTCATCAAAGTCCATAAACGCACGCTTGATGGAGTACAGTACGGACATTGCACTTTTGCCACTCTCGAACAATGAGCGGATGCATTTAGGGAACTGTTCGTCAGCACACCGAGGTCTTTTTGAGCTTCGACCTCTTTTAGGGCTGCACCGCCCAGAAAGTAGTCTCTCGTGCTGGCAGATCTGGCTGTGTTGCCTAGACGAATTATGTTACATTTGGCAACGTTGAACCGCCGGAGCCAACGGTTTGACCACTCCTCCAACCGATTCAGGCTCATCTGCAGTCTGTCTTCGTCGGCAGGACACCGAATTACACTCCATATCTTCATGTCATTGGCAAACATTGCTACTTCACAGTCTAAAGCTCTTGCTGCATCGTCCACGTATATAAGTAACAAAATGGGTCCCAATACAGAACCCTGTGAGACACCACTGTCGACCATAGCAGGGTCTGATTTTTCTTGACCGATGCACACAACCTGGTGTCGACCCAAAAGGAAGTTTTCGATTCATTTGAGGAAGTTGCCACCGATCCCTATTTTTTTAAGTTTATGTAGGAGCCTCTGGTGTGGCACAGTGTCGAACGTCTTCTGGAAGTCAATGAAGGTTACGGGGACAGCGTGCCTTTCGTCTAGAGCTCGGGTCCAGCTCTGGAGAGAATGCAGCAAGTTTGTCGTGCAGGATCTTCCTTTTCGGAACCCGTGTTGGCAGTTCGATAGTAGACCGTGAACTTTCAGGAAAAGTGTTAGCTCATTCTTTATGATCCTTTCCATCACTTTGCAGAGAATACATGTCAAGCTTATGAGCGTGTAATTTGTCGTCGCTGCCCTGTTACCTCCTTTGTGTAGCGGAGTAATATGCGCCAGCTTCCAATCGATAGGGAGTATTCCAATGTCAAATGACTTTTGAAAGAGCATCGACAAAGGCGCAGAAAGCTCACTGGCAAGTTCCTTGAGAAGCTTGAGTGGAATCTCGTCTGGTCCTGGTGACTTCGATTCGTTCAATGCCTCCAATTCTCTTCGGATAATGACTTCTGAGAAGAGTATATCGCTGACTCTTGGGGTCGGCAGTGCTTCTGTGGAGGGAGGAATGAACCTTGCCTCGTTTGTGTAGACTGATTGGAAAAACTGTGCAAAATACGCAGTTTACTCCCTACTATCAGCAATCTCAACGCCATCAGTAGTCCTTATTAAGGGAATTTGATGCCTGTTCCTTGTAGTTCGTCGGAGGTAACTGTAGAGTAATTTTGGGTTCTGCGTTGCTTTTTGTAGCAAGTTCTTCTCGAATTCCCACCGCGTCTGCATTATTAGCTTCCTCAGTTTGTTCCTCTGTGTCTTGTAGGTGTTGAAATATTCATCTTGTCTAGTGACGCAATATTTTCTCCACAATTTGTGCTTCCTGTTGATTTCTGTCTTCAGGTTCCTATTTAGCCACCCAGGGCGTTTATTCAGTCTTACACTAGTCAGTGGGCAGTGGTTGTTGATAAGCTGCAGAAGGACATTCTTGAACAGCTCCCAGTCGTCGTTGGCATTTCCCGTAAACAACGAGCCCCAGTCGAGACCGGATAAGTTTGCCCTCATCTGATTGAAGTTGCCTCGCCAAACATTCCGTCTTTTTTGGTCTGGAGAATACGAAATGGAGAATAACGAATAATCCCACAAAAGCACCACGTGATCACTTCGGCCAAGGGGCGGCATGGAGGTGATCCCGTCTATGCTGTCTGGTGTTTTCGTAAAAACCAGATCAAGGCAGTTTGCCCTTTGTCCTTCATGTGTTGTCGTTGGGAACATGACATGTTGTGTGAGGGACGCCTTTAATGTTTTTTTTTTCAGTAGACGGTAATCGAATGCCGATTTTGAATCTGACGCTTGGAGGGTGTTTCCGTTTGTTCCTGGTGCGTTGAAGTCTCCAATGATCATGATGTTAGGTCGGCTGGAAAAGTTCTCCAAATGCACCAATAGTTCAGTGTCGGCGATTTGGTCTGTCCTAGGTGGTCGGTAGACAGTGAGGACATCGAGACACGGGGAACCGGTAGGCTTGATGGTCAACCTAATAGCTTCCGTATTGCACGCAAACTTGGTGGTGTTTTTCGACACTGCCAGGCCTTCATTCACATACACAACTATACCACCGCCCTGACGATGTTCCCTGTCCCTCCGATAAATTTGGTATCCAGGCAAAGCTACTACGTTATCGCTAATATTCCCCGACAGCCAGGTCTCAGTTACTGTTAAAACATCTGGGGACAGCTCGACAAGACAAAGTTTTAGTTTGTCTAGTTTCGATATGAGGCTTTGGGCATTCGTGTACAAGCACCTGAGTTTTGCACCAGCCGAATTCCCCGTTGCATTTGATACTGTTTTGAGCATTGCTCCGTTATCTCGGACGCAATTTTCTCCGGTCACTTCGGTTACCTGATGGGTTTCATTAATATCCGTTGCTTCAGTCAGAATACTGGACGTTAAGGGCTTACTTATGTTGTCGCCTTGAGCAGGTGGTTCAACGAAGGTATCTGTGTTAGCTGAGTGGCTGCCTTCGTTCTTAGTATTACAGGCTGGTTCCACTAAAACGGCATATATTTCCGAACTACCTTCCCATTGAAGATGGCCAGATTGTGTTCGCCCCCCTTCAGTCTCGATTTTAACTCCAGGACGAGTTCCCGGCGTTTCAGCCGTTCCGCTGGTGAACAGTCCGGTTGAAAAAAACCTGTTTGTGTGCGTCTCTGAGGTCGGTTTTTTAGAGAGGATCAACTTTATTTGCTCTTTGTTCTCCAGCATAATTTGGAAAGGACGAGGTGGTTGTGCTGCTGTCATGTCTTCACTCCTTTTTCCTATCCGGAATGCTTTCAGGACCTTTATTTCCATGTCTGTCTGGAGCAACTGATTTAGTAGACCATGAAAAGAAGCAAGGTCTCCGAGACACGGTCTTCAGGTCTGACTGCATTCGATTCCGACAAGCCCTGAATAACCAGGCACTTCTAGCGATCATGGTCCCCCTTACTTTGCCTTTCCGGTGAATTCGCTGCATGTGGGTGAGGACGATTCACGGAGTCGTCGCTTGGACGCACGGTTTTGCTATCGACCGACTGTACCGAACAACCTATCAGGGCCGGTTGTGACTTTAGACTCCTGTCATGGCGTTTTCCTCTCCCCCCTACTCACGGGTTCATGTATTCGCATTCCGATACGTGCTCTGTAGGGCACTGGAGGTGGTTGGGGGAACAAGAGGGCAGCAGTGGACTGGATGACCTCTTGGACGCGAATAGTCTCATCCGGCTTTTCAATCCTGCATTGACGATGTCATTTCTGAATCCCATATACAATACCACATGCATGCCAGTACTGTCCGACCCGTATACGTACCTCTCAAGGCTGACATTTATTTCTGCCTTGAAGATGTTTGATTATAATCCGTAATATACCGCCACATACAGGCCAGTACTGCCCGCATGTTTTTTGTTATTATTTTTTATTGAGGAGTTTTTTTTCTCCTGTAAAATTAATCCAATCATTTTTAAATTTTGTAAGGAGTTTCTTTAGACCCTCGCCGGTTATTTTTCTTAACGGACTACTAATTCAGAAACTTTTAATTGCATTTTGTACAGATTCTGCCTACCTCGTCTAAAATTCACACGTACATTTATTTTTACTTGCTTTGGTGGGAGCCCGACGTGTCTTTAATAAAAATTATCTTTATTATTAAAACAGTCTGGTGTGTTGAGTGATGTCTTAGCCTCAGTCGTAACAAATGCCAAATTATCCGATTACGATCGAGCTGCAGGAGGCCGTTGAGATTTGAATCTCACTACCTTATAGGAGGTCGCCAACTCGAATCAGTCAACCAGTTATGAGACCTCGGTGTGCGGATGACGTCAACTCTCGAACCATTGTCTCACTGCGCCAAGGTATCAAAGAAAGCCATGGGTATTCTAAGCGCGATTAAATGATCCTTCCTCAATTTTGATGAAGAATTTTTCGGACGAGTATTTGGAGCATACGTTTGACCAATGTTAGAATATTGTGTTCAGGCACGGTGTCCCTGGACAAAACAAGATTACCCTCCACTGGGGAACGTACAACGAAGAGCGACCAAGCTGGTCAGCGGATTTAGTAGTTTACCTTATGAGAGACATCTGGAATAACTTAAAATACTTCCTCTCTCTTATAGACAATACAGAAAGGATATGATCGTGGCCGTCAGGATCGTCAGAGGGCTAGACTGCGC